ATGTCATTAAATCAGCGATTCTGCTCCAGGCAGCCAGATAGCCAGCTTATCACCTTTGGTTCTGTAATGTGTGGTGAAGCAGATGTCTCGAAATTGGTTAAGTACTCAGAATTTATCCCAACCCTGAAAATAAACTCAGCACATGCTGCGTTCTTCTGTCTGCTGGCTGTGAGTGGTCATCTCACACTGTGATTCTGAAGTGTGACAGAACAGATTTCCCACATCAAGGTTAAACACAGGCAATGTGGGAGGAGATCTGTAGTCCAAGTCCCAGTTGTTGAAAATGCAGCTGCTGCTCCCGGAGCCAAGGACCGTTACCCAAGAGAATAGGAGCATGATTCCCTCTCCGCTCCACACTTGAATCTGCACACCCTGCCTGGAGAGAGCTGAGCACAAACCCTGATGAGGGTGTTCACAGAGGAGTACAAAATGCTCGATGATAAGATCTTATACCTGGAAAACCCTAAAGACCTCGCCAAAAAAATTCCTCCATTTGATCAATGAATTCAGGAATAGTGTCAAGATATAAAATAAATGTATAAAAATCAGCACCATTTCTTCACTTCAGGAACAAAAAAGCTGAGAACCAAATCAAGAAAATAATCTCATTTACAATAGCTACCAAAACAAACAAACAAACAAACCAAAAAACCTAGGTGTGGTTTAACCAAGGAGGTGAAAGATCTCTGTAAGGAAAACTACAAAACACTGCTGAAAGACATCAGAGATGACACAAACAAATGAAAAAATATTCCATGCTCATGGATCGAAAGAATTAATATTGCTAAAATGACCATACTGCCCAAAGCAATCTATAATCTACAGATTCAATGTAATTCAAAATACCAATTTTTTTCATATTTTAAAAAACCCCTAATATTTATAGGAAATCACCAAATAGCCAAAGCAATCCTAAGCAAAAAGAGTGAAGCTGAAGGCATCACATCACCTGACCTCAAATAATATTACAAGGCGATAGTAACCAAAACAGCATGGTACTGCTACAAAACCTTGCATTGCCAGGTGCCGTGGCACATGCCTGTATTCTCAGCTACTCGGAAGGCTGATGTGGGAGGATCTCTCGAGCCCAGGAGTTCTGGGCTGCAGTGCACTAAGCCAATTGGGTCTGCACTAAGTTTGGTATCAATATGTTGACCTCCCAGGAGCGGGGGACCACCAGATTGCCTAAGGAGGGATGAACTGGCCCAGGTTGGAAACGGAGCAGGTCAAAACTCCTGTGCTGATCAGTAGTGGGATTGTGCCTGTGAATAGCCACTGCACTCCAGCCTGGGCAACATAGTGAGACCCCATCTCTAAAAAAGAAATAAAATAAAATAAAAAATAATAAAAACAAAAACGAGTTGCATAGATTAATGGTACAGAATTGAGAACCTGGAAATAAAGCTATATGTCTACAACCAACTGATCTCAGACAAAGTTGACAAAAACTTAAAAAAAAAAAATGCTTGGTAAAGGACTACTTTGCATCTCTCTTCTCTCTAGCTCAAAGCAGAGTTTTTTTTATTGATGATTGATTGATTGAGACAGAGTTTTGCTCTTGTTGCCCATGCTGGAGTGACTGCAGTGGTATGATCTTGGCTTACTGCAACCTCTGCCTCCCAGGTTCAAGTGATTCTCATGCCTCAGCCTCCCAAGTAGCTGGGTTTATAAGCATGTGCCACCACACCTGGATAACTTTTTGTAGTTTTAGTAGAGATGGGATTTCACCATGTTGGCCAGGCTGGTCTCAAACTCCTAACCTCACCTGATTCACTCTCCTTGGCCTCCCAATGAGCTGGGATTACAAGTGTGAGCCACTACACCTGGCCCAAAGTAAGCTTTTGAAACCTGATGTTGATGCCTAAACCATGTTCTTTTAGTCACCATCTTCTTATGTGCTGGAGATTAAATGGACATTTAGAAAGCCAGCTCACAGGCAAAAGGCAAAATTCCAAGTAAATACTTGATGAAAAAAAAGTCTTTTTGGAGACAGATGGGAATATACATGAAATCAAAGAACCTTCTAACAATTCCAAAATTGAACGTGCCTCCTTTTAGCAGAGAGTGGCTAAGAAAGAGGAGCCAGAACCTTCTCTCACTGTGTTTCCTTCAGGGCCCAGCGCAATTCCTTGCCCAGAGTTGGTCCCTGTAAGACTTCAACTCTCCATTGGTAGGCCTGCTCTCCTGCTGGGCACATTCCCTCCTGCCTGCCCACGGGGAATGACATCAAGCAGTCTTTACTCCTAATCACATTGCAGACCTAAGAAAAAAATCTCCCAGTCCTTCCGAAAAACACTGGCTTTCACATTGAGTTACTACACAGAAACTTGCTGTCAATAAAAGACCAAATTGCTTGTGTCTGACAGACAGTGAGCAAGCATCAGCAAGGAACCCAGACGACCAATAGAATAAATCCCTTCTGGGTCCCACTGTGGTGCTTGGTGACATGGCAGTCATCTGCAGAAGCTTAGCTCAAGGGGCACTGGCTGATCCTCAGATAAGAAGCATCTCTCCAAGGCTAGGCAAATTCCCATTAGGTCCAGTAAATTCTTGGTACAGTCTCCATCATCTGTTTCTGAATATTTTACGAAACTCAAGGAAAACACAAAGGGCACCCCCTTCTGATTGTGACCATCAGAAGATGCGGCACTAACATTGGCTGTGTGCCTCCAGCGAGCATGTTCATCTACCCATCTATCTTGCAAAGGGCTTAAATAAGATCGTCTCTAAGGCATGAGCTGGAAAAGCTCTGTACACCTTCTGCAGTGCATTCCAGTGCTTCCATCCAATTCCTGAAGCAGGAATTATCAAGGTGGCTGGAAGTTGCTTTCTTTGTTTCTTTCTTGCTGTTTTTTGTTTGTTTTAGAGACAGGGTTTTGCTCTGTTGCAGTGGCATAATCATAGCTCATTGCAGAATCGAACTCCTGGACTCAAGCGATCCACCTGCCTCAGTCTTTCAAGTAGCTGGGACTGTGGGCATGAGTCATCACACCCAGCTATTTTTTTTTTTTTTTAAGAGATGGGGTCTTGCAATGTTGCCCAGGGTGGGCTATGAATACATAAAGGCATACAGAGTGACATAATGGGGAAGGGTGGGGCTGGGCACAGTGGCTTACACCTGTAATGCAAGGCAGGCGATCATTTGAGGTCAGGAGTTCGAGACCAGCCTGGCCAACATGGCAAAACCTCCTCTCTACTAAAAATACAAAAACTTGCTGGGCATAGTGGTGCACACCTGTAATGCCAGCTACTGGGATTATCGACGATGAGGCACAATAATTGCTTGAAACTGGGGGACGGAGGGAGCCAAGATTGTGCCACTGCACTCTAGCCTGGGTGACAGAGTGAGACTCTGCTTCAAAAAAAAAAAAAAAAAAAAAAAGGGTGGGGATGTTAGGATTTAAAGACTACATATTGGGTATAACATAAACTACTTGGGTGATTGCATTAAAGTCTTATAATTCACCACTTAATAATTCATTCATGTAACTAAAAAGCACACATTGAAATAAAAAATACATTTAAAAAAATTAGGTACAGAGCTATGGTGGGGCCCTTGAAAGTGATGAGTCCTGGGGCTGAAGCTTTGTTAGCTTCATGGTCAATCTGTCTCTTCCCTTACCAGAGGGGCACCTATTTCCTCTGCAGTGTTGATGTGTTACTTACAAGCAACAACATAGGAGAAAGAACATGTGTATTGGAGTCAGAAAGGGCTGGGTTCAAATACCGGCTATTTCTTCACTTGCTTTGTGGTCTTGAGGATAATGTTACTTATCCTCACTATGCCTCAATTTCCTTCTCTGAGAAAAAAGAGAGCAATGCATATTTCATGCATGTTTACATTGATTACAAGGGATGGCATATTTTACATAAAACAGGTGAAAGTGTTTGATACTATTTGCTACATGGATGATAGACTTCCATTCAACAGTTTTCACTAGATTTCATGTACATGAGTTAAAGCCACCTGCTACAATGGCTAGTTATTAGCTTGCCAAATAATAATAGGCAAAGAGCCTGCAAGCGTGTATTCAAGGATAGTATAAATGTATAAAAACAAGGTGCAAGATAGAACCACATAGCCCTAAACCAGTGGCTCACAATTACTATTTTATTTTTAGTGGGGACAAGGTCTCCCTCTGTTGCCCAGGCTGGAGTGCTGTGGTGTGATCTTGGCTCACTGCAACCTTCATCTCCCAGGCTTAAGTGATCCTCCCTTCTCAGCCTGGGACTATAGGCATGCACCACCACACCTGACTAATTTTTGTATTTTTTGTAGAGACGGGGTTTCAGCATGTTGGCCAGGCCGGTCTCAAATTCCTGGGTTCGAGCAATTTTCCCACTTCAGCCTCCTAAAGTGCTGGGATTACAGGCACAGCCACAATTATTTTTTCTACCTCAGTGTAGCACGGGGATGCAAACCATTCCAGTTGACAATAGCTTCATACAAGAACAACAGAAAAGGAGCGTACTGGCCAGGCGCAGTGGCTCATGCCTGTAATCCCAACACTTTGGGAGGCCAAGGTGGGAGAATCACGAGGTCAAGAGATCGAGACCAACCTGGCCAACACGGTGAAAACACGTCTCTATTAAAATACAAAAATTAGCTGGGCGTGGTGGTGCACACCTGTAGTCCCAGCTACTCGGGAGGCTGAGGCAGGAGAAATGCTTGAACCCAGGAGACGGAAGTTACCGTGAGTGAGATTGCGCCACTGCACTCCAGCCTGGCACCTGGTGACAGAGCAAGACTCTGTCTCACACACACAATATATATATATATATATATATATATATATATATATATATATATATATAAAGAAAAGGAGTGTATTAATACAATTTGCAAAGCTCCTGGTATTTGCTGCCAGCTTATGATACGTATTTCCCTCCAACCTATATCCCAGTTCCTATAGGCTGTCCTCAGTCCCAGTTGAGAATCATAGTCTTCACAATAACTAAGGCAAAATACTGAATTTATTCAGTTGAGTTGACCAATCACATTGGACAAAAGGGTTTTATTTGCATAATATAAAAACATACTTTAAGTAAAACTACTTGCATACTTTACAATGTTACAAATATATATATGAGAGATTCATGAAGGCATTTGATATAAAACATACATAGTATGCTATTTTAATGTACAAATGCTTAAAAGAAAATTGAATCAGAAGAATTACAAAAGGAGCATCATCAATAATTTACAAAAGTTTTCATTTTTCTTAAAGGTCACATTCTCATCCTTTGGGATGTACCAAAATAATGTGGTTTACACAGTTTTATCCACATTCAGAACAACATGTTTTGAATGTCTTAAGCATAGCATGTACAGTACACAATGTTTCCATAGGAACACAAAAAAGAAACTGTCACTAGTGGCCTGCTCTCATATGGCTTCTAATTCATCACTTAGCCACTTTTAAGACACTAGTTCAGCTTATTGCTACAATATTCAAGTTGTTCTATTCACCCAAATTATAATAAATTCAATGTATACTAGAATTTACCAATAAAGGCTCAAAGAGTTATATACATCAATATATACAACGCAACTATTCCGAGTAAAATGAAGATTCCATACTTAAATAAGAACCAAGAGTAGTAATTTTCAGGTACCCTATTATCCTTGTGACTGGTATTTTTACAATTTTGAGCAAAGTGCACAGTGAATGAAACAGTCAGCAGACACGATCCTTCTGCGAACGCTCAAACTCCGTCCTTGGAATCACATCACCTGAGAAAGGAGAACCTTAAGGCCTTGTGCACACCAGATAGCTTCACAAGTCAAACGCACAGGGGCCACTTGGAGGTACATTCGTGGGTCAAGGGAGGTCACACTGCTCCTTCAAAAATGGTACAATTCACTATACAGGGTCCCTGTGTGGAGGTGGCAGCACCAGCCTCCAGGAGATAAATGCTGTCTTAATTTAGAGAAACCCGTTGTCCTTTAGCCATATTCAAGCGTTGGTGGCCCGCGAACAAGGTTGAAGTAGCCGGCCAGAGCGCCGAGGTCTATGTAGAGAGAGCGCTGTCTCTTGAGCATCTCAGACTCCTCGGTGCTTCCTGTGCATGAAGAATCTGAAAAGGAAAATATTTAAAAAATAAGTTACTAGAAAACATATCAAATCATAAATAACTGTTCCTTCTGCAGAGAAATAAATCCTTTGGGGCCTAATAAAACCAGCTGGGCACAATGGTTCATGCCTGTAATCCCAACACTTTGGGAGGCCGAGGTGGGCAGATCACAAGGTCAGGAGTTCAAGACCCGCCTGGCCAACATAGTGAAACCCCTTCTCTACTAAAATATAAAAATTAGCAAGGTATGGTGGTGGGTGCCTGTAATTCCAGCTACTCAGGAGGCCGAGGCAGGAGAATCTCTTGAACCCAGGAGGGGAGGTGGCAGTGAGCTGAGATAGTGCCATTGCACTCTGGCCTGGGCAGCAGAGCAAGACTCCATCTCAAAAAAAAAAAAAAAAAAAAAAAAAAAAAATTTTACATAGACCAAAGAGTTCAAACAGGAGTCAATGGAGACAAGAAATTAGTTAGAAATCCTGGCATATTTTTCCAATAGTCAGATGGTCCTCTTTAAATACACAAAAGTCAGACAAGCAGCAAAGAAATATAAACAAGTATGCCAGGCTTGACATCTGGGTTTGGACCTAAATGGATTAAAAACGCCATAGATTTTTAATAAAAATGGAAACCCTCTCCCTCCATATTCAATGCTCCTGGAATGCATACTGACTTTCCTAAGTGGAAAAAATTCACAGCAGGCAAGATTTTAAGCAGAGGAAGATGGAAACGTAAGTTGACTTCAAACTCAGTATTTCACCTGTGCAGGGCAGTGCTATGCTGTTTCCCTAACTCACTTGATGTGAGTTAGGCAGGGCGCGGTGGCTCATGCCTGTAATCCTAGCATTTGGGATGCTGAGGCGGATGGTTCAAGATCAGCCTGACCAACATGGTAAAACCTCTTCTCCACAAAAAAATACAAAAATTAGCCAGATATGGTGGCAAGCACCTGTAATCCCAGCTACTCAGGAGGCTGAGGCAAGAGAATCGCTTGAACCTGGAAGGCGGAGGTTGCAGTGAGCTGAGATCATGCCACTGCACTCCAACCTGGGTGACAGAGCAACTCCATCTCAAAAAAAGAAAAGAAAAAAGAAAAAAAAGAAAGAAAAAGTGAATCAAGCAGAACTCTCGACTTTACCAACAGCAAAGCTGTCACGTTCAGTTTGTTTTCAAAGACCAGTGTTGCAAACAAGCAAGTCAGAGGCGTTTCCAATGACTATACTACCTACACTCGCACTGAAAATCTATTATAATTTGGTGCTAAATTAGCCAATTTAAAAACAAAACATGCTTCTGTTCGTCTTCTTGCTGGAAAGTCTCAAGCAAGATATGGGAGTCAAGAAGTCATTTCCTTTTTTTCCAAGTGCTTTCATGAACGACATCAGAGGTTTGATGTGGACAGAAAGAGAAGAGAAGCAAGGGTGCGGACACAGCAGGGTGTCCCTACCAGCAATGTTCTCAGGAAGTTCCAGCTCCTTCCTACTCAGCAGCCTCTTGCGCTCAAAGAGGGCAGAGTCCAGACTCTGACAGCGCGGCTGATCCTCTCTGGGCGGGTTCAGGGCCTCGTGTTTTAGCAGGTCTCCGGCTCTTGGGCGGTGATTGGGGTTTCTCTCCAGGGCAGCTTCTATCAGCTCTCTCATCCCCGGACTACAGTCATCTGCGATGTCTTCCAGTGGAGGTGCTTGCTTGTGGATCTGGCAATAAACCAGCTCTCTTAGCATCAAAGGTATGGAGATACACCCTCAACAGCAAAAGCACACTAGTAACAGGACTTAGAGGCTGGGCACCGTGGCTCACGCCTGTAATCTCAGCACTTTGGGAGGCCAAGGTGGGTGGATCACCTGAGGTCAGGAGTTCAAGACTAGCCTGGCCAACATGGAGGAACCCCGTCTCTACTAAAAATACAACATTAGCCGGGTGTGGTGGCACATGCCAGCTATAGGTGACACCTATAATCCCAGCTACTTGGGAGGCTGAGGCAGGAGAATCACTTAAACCCAGGAGGTGGAGGTGGAGGTGAGCTGAGATCGTGCCATTGTACTCCAGCCTGGGCAGCAAGAGTGAAACTCTGTCTCAAAAAATAAATAAAGTAATAGGACCTAGAAAGGAATTCGTTTCCCACCACATGCCCTGCAACAAATGCAGTTCATGCCCTCAAACAAGCAAGCTTCCCTTTAATTTCTTTTATCTTTTCCTTTTGAGACAGCGGCATGAACACAGCTCACTGTAGCCTTGAGCTCCTGGGCTCAAGTGATCCTCTCACCTCAGCCTCCCATGCAGCTGAAGCCACACCACCATGCCTGGACCCCTTTAATTTCTAAAGGATACAAGACTAAACCCATCTTCTGGTTTAATGTTGCAAAAGATAAGTGCTAGGTTTGAATGTCAGTGATAGCTTCCAATCAGTGGCCCAAAAGTCACTATGCAGTAACAGAGAAGTGTCTGCTCCTGAATTTATCAACAGTAAAACGGGAATTGCATGTTCCACTACAAGCCAGGCTGGTGTGAACATTCATAATCAAAAATGTTTTAAGTGTTCAAAGAACATATACAACTTCCTTGGCTGAAATATTTATGCTACTCTGATGCTACTGAGTAGTATTGCATTATTACACATACAACGGAATAGCACAAATTATGCCCAATGCACATTTTAGTAAGTTCCCACTAAAATAGCTGTTTTCTTTGTAAGAATGAAGCTTGCTTCTACATGGGAAGAACTTTAGCTTACCTGTCATTTCACCACTGCCTCATTCACATGGGGGTGGTATAGAGGGCCGAGCAGCCCCTTCCAGCCTGCGCATGCATAACTCACCCCCGCCCAGCCCTGGTTGACCCCCCCACTTACTATGTACAGGTAGGAGGGATAGGCTGAGCGAGGGTAGCGCTTCACCCAGGGCGGGGTGCCCGTCTGCATGTGGATGAGAGTGGCCCCCAGGCTGTAGATGTCTGCTTTCGTTGAATGGCCCCTGCATAGGATGACCTCTGGACTCATGTAAATCTGAAAAAGATGCGGGAAACATTCAGCTTCATTCTCCTCCTTTGTGTGGGGTTCCATTTCCCGAATCCAGTTCTGGAAATTGCCTCATTCACCTTAAGCTAGGAGAATAACATGGACATTCCCTGGCAACCAGGCCGCTCTTGCTGGAAGCATCCTTGCAATCTGACAAAGAACACCGGGCCAGGCGCAGTGGCTCACGCCTGTAATCCCAGCACTTTGGGAGGCTGAGGTGGGTGGATCATTTGAGGTCAGGAGTTCAAAACCAGCCTGGCCAATATGGTGAAACCCCATCTCTACTAAAAATACAAAAATTACCCGGGCGTGGTGGTGGGTGCCTGTAATCCCAGCTACTTGGGAGGCTGAGGCAGGAGAATCGTTTGAGCTTGGGAGGCGGAGGCTGCAGCAAGCTGAGATCACGATACTGCACTCCAGCCTGGGAGACAGAGTAAGACTCTGTCTCAAACAACAACAACAAAAGAATTTAAAAAACCTTTTTTTGGTTGATCAGCTGGCAAAGAGCCTGGAACCAGGAATCCATCTGGGACTCCCATTCATCAGAGTTCTGCAATCCACTGATCAGGTGTTGCTAAGTTTTCTATTAAAATACCATTCCTTTTACGGTTAAATGAGCTACAAATAGACCTCTTCATCTGTTTGTCATTACATTGCCAACCCTCTAAATATCTGCAATGATAAAAGCTGAAAGAAGTCTATAGGGTATTAACACAAATTTCTTGAAAGGGAAAAACTTAAAAAAACAAAGTATATGTTGTAAACGTGATCCTAAAGAGTTATTTTTATGAACCATCTATTATTTTTTCCTACCATGTAGCCCAGTGACTATTAAATGCAGCCCTATTAACACTGTATATGCTACATTTGGTTTCATGTGTCCACGCTGAATAAACAGGGCTGGTTTTAGAAACAGTTTCTCGAAGAAGCATTTCTTTCTAAACTTAGGAAAGAAAGCGAGGTGGGCCATGTCTCTAATCTCAGCACTTTGAAAGGCCGAGGCAGGGAGATTGCCTGAGCCCAGCCTGGAAAAGATGGAGACCCCCCTCCCCCATCTCTACAAATTAATTAGTTACCTAATTTAATTTTTAAAGGTTTTTAAAGGAACAGAGCAGGCACTGGGGACCAGTGATCTGTATCTATGGCTGGTGCAGACATACAGTACTGAATATCCCAATTATCAATATTTTGCTCTAAACAGCTTGCACACTGCCACGTGAATAACAGAATGGAGGTCAGTGTTTCTGGAACACATTTCGGGGTAAGTAAGTAGAGAGCCAGCTTACAAAAACTGGAAACTGCCCAGTCTCCCCGCTAACCCTGCTCAACTCCTTCCTACAAGCCACTTCCGGGCGGGCTTCCTCTTGCTCTCAGCAAACAGGTTAAACTGAGCTCTGGTTCTAAGCTGTTCCTGCAGTAGAGCCAGAGGACTTTCTGGAAGGATTTTGCCACTAAGTATATCACAAAGTTAAAAAATTAATGCACAACATTGTACCTATAGTCAACAATACTGTATTGCATACTTGTTTTGTTTTGTTTTTTTGAGATGGAGTCTCTGTCACCAGGCTGGAGTGCAGTGATGCAATCTCGGCTCACTGCAACCTCTGCCTCCCAGGTTCAAGTGATTCTCCTGCCTCAGCCTCCTGAGTAGCTGGGACTACAGGCACGTGCCACCACATCCAGCTAATTTTTTTTTTTTTTTTTTTTTTTTGTATTTTTAGTAGAGACGGGGTTTCACCATGTTGCCCAGGATGGTCTTGATCTCCTGACCTCATGATCCGCCTGCCTCAGCCTCCCAAAGTGCTGGGATTACAGGTGTGAGCCACCACGCCAGGCCTACTGTATTGTATACTTAAAAATTTGTTGAGAGGGTAGAGTTCATGCTAATTGTTCTTACCACAATAAAATAAAAAAGAAAAAGATTCATCAGGATATTCCCAGACAAAAAAATATATAAATAAAAATTAAAAAGAAAAAGAAATGCAGTGGATATCATTAACTGTCCATAGAGGATGCCTATCTTCTCACCTGTACCCCCTCCTCCCCACCAATAAGGCAAGGAATAGGCCGAGTGCTCACTGTTGGCATAGCCCACAGGGGCTGTGCCTAGAGGCTCTGCAGGTTCTATGTGACTGCACACCTAGGAAGCCTGCAGAGATGAAGCATCCATAAGCCTGTTGGCCTGGGTGCTGCCCTTTAAGCAGAAACCCAGAGCTTCCTGGCTCACAGCGCTTGTTCCTTAAGCTCTACCAACTACCAGACAGATCAGGGAGGAACAGGGTAAGAGGTTCAAGCACTCGGCAGACTGGCTGATTCAAAGGCATGAAACAGCCCCGGAGGGGCCAACACAGGGTTCTCTGGGAGTTCTGCACCCTCAGGTCTGGGCACTGGAGCAAGAGAAAACCTTAATGTCGGCGATCAACCCCTTCAGCTCTCAACATGCTTATTAGAAAGGGAAAGACTGTGCGTGTGTGTATGTGTGCATGTGATGACTGCACGCTAACTTACAAAGGTAAAACCAAGCAGATTTAGAAGGGCTTTTCAAAAAGGACCAAGCTCTAAAAGTAATTCTAATTTGTTATTCACATAGTGAATTTGCATTCACTATGCATTCTTTCTACCACGTGACTCAAAAACAGTGGATTCTGCATACGCTGGATTAACCTTCTATGTGTATTACATGGTTGCCACAGAATGCTCTGAATATGAATGCTTAGAGAGAAAGATCAAACGGGGTGACCAGGGTTTGCATTTGCAGCTATGCTGCAGAAATCAGAAATTGTCTATGACTGTGCAATAACCACACGATCAAGTTCTAACATCAAGCAAGTCTGCACAGTTGACTGACTAATTAGATCTCCCGGCTCCTTAAGCAGGAAGAGCAAAAGCAAGCTTATTAAAAGGTTTCATTGGTGACATCACAACTTTGCTCATTGTCAAACTTCAACTGGTAGGTGCTTTGCTACTAAGTATATCACAAAGTTAAAAAATTAATGCACAACATTGTACCTATAGTCAACAATAGTGTATTGTATACTTAAAAACTTGTTGAGAGGGTAAAGTTCATGCTAAGAGTTCATTTACTAAGCAGATAGTAAATGCAGGTTGATTAGAAGACAGTTTATATTTATAAACACCAAGGCTCAGTTTCGCACTTCATAAAAAGCAATTTGCACTTGCCAAAAATAACTTGATCCAAATACTACTCAGGAGTGAAATATGTTATTATCTCATATCCAAGCATTCTGCTAGACGGCCCCAGAAGGAACACTTCTTTCTCCAATGTTGCAAAATGTTCGACTTCACCACATTGCCAGGAAAAGTATTTTCCATCTTTAATACCATAAATAGTTTGTTTCTCAAACTGGTTCCAGGAAAAAGGGTGGTGGAATATTACATATCTGAACTCCTGACTAATGCCAAATATGCTGAAACATTTTCCAAAGAAAACATATCGTAAGCATAAAGTCTTATTAGATCTCACACTTTGGTAAAGTATTCTTAAGATTTAGGGACTGAGCATTCTTTAAAAAAAATAAAATTACAGTTTTCTCTTCTGAATATTGTTCTGCTTGAAAACAGCTATCAAGAATTCTCTCTCAAGTATTTTCAATAATAACTTCAGAAATATCCACAAAAGCAGGGATTTCTTCTGCTGCACTGGAGAGTCTTGGCTCTGAGAGAGTTGGGAAAGGGCTTATAGAATCCTGGGGTTTTTGTTTTGTTTAGGACAGGGTCTTGTTCTGTTGTCCTGGCTGTGGGTGCAGGGCTGTAATCATGGCTCACCGCAGCCTCATCCTGGGCTCAAGCAATCCTTCCACCTCAGCCTCCTGAATAGCTGGGACTACAGGTGTGCGCTATCATGCAATTTTGACAAAAAGTTAGTTTTTATTTTTTTTTACTTTTTGTAGTGAAGGGGTCTCACTATGTTGCCTAGGCTGGAAGAATCTTGGTTTGAAAGGAAGATAATCTTCTTGTTGTTGCTGCAATCCAGTTCAGTGCAACACATATACTAGCTAGACTAAGGGTTGCCATCTGATTGAACACCAAGACTGACCTGGTAACCTTGACATAGAGGTGCAGCCAAAGACTCCCTCTCTATTTACTATGGGCACTTTCAGCAAAGAGAAGAGCATGGGGCTGAGTGGCTCAGGCAGTGAAGCTTCCCCCGGTAGTGACCAAGGAGGCAGCTTTTACGCCCATTACCTTGCTGCTTGCATTACACCTTATGTTCATCACAATCAACTGTGAACTAAACCGTTGACCCTTTTCTATCCTTCCTTCCTCCCGCCTCCCTCCGTCCCTCCCTTCCTCCCTCTCTTTCTTTCTCTTTTTCTTTCTTTCTTCTCTCTCTCTCTCTCTCTTTCTTTCTTTCACAAAAGAGATGAAGTTTCACTATATTGCTCAGGCTTGTCTCGAACCCCTGGGCTCAACAGGGAGGCAGAGATTGCAGTGAGACAAGATCACGCCACTGCACTGCAGCCTGGAAGACAGAGCAAGACTCTGTCTCAAAAACAAACAAACAAACAAACAAAAAAAACACCCAACCTTGGCCTCCCAGAGGGTAGAGATTATAGGTGTGACAACCCCATGCGCATCCCTAAACCGTTGCTCTTTTAACAATTCAGGTAATTTAAAGTAGGTCCTCCCACCAGAGAGTGGGGACCACTGGAGTACCATTAAGGCACGGTCCTCACTGCCTGGTCTGACGCTTCGTTGTTGTCGGTACTCACAACAACCTGCCACATAGCAGATACTCAACGGGCACTTGCTAATTGAATTAACTAGTCAGCCTATTGATGTAAATGTAATATATATTATTTGAAAGACTGTGAATGCATTTTTCAGAATCTCATTTAGAGTCAGCAAAGAAAAGCTTTTCTGGGTTGTTTTTGGCTTCACAGATGACATAAACATGAGAACTATTTTACATCTTTAAGTAAGATACGTTTATGCTCACTACTTGAGGTTTAGATTCTTAGGCTCACAGAGAGGCTTTTAGAGTCCTCATAAATATGAATGACCATGATAATTAAGACTGTCATTGAGCCAAAACTCAGTGATATTGGTTATATCAGTTTTATATATATATATATGTGTGTGTGTATATATATATATATATATGTTTTCATTCTACAAATATTTATTGAGTACCTACTATATGAATAAAATATGCCAAATTTCCATGACCTGGTGGTCATGACTCTGTTTTAGCAAGCAGAGACAGATAGTAAATTTTTTTATTGCATTTTAGGTTTTGGGGTACATGTGAAGAACATGCAAGATTGTTGCATAGGTACACACTTGGCAGTGTGATTTGCTGCCTTCCTCCCCATCACCTTATCTGGCATTTCTTATTTTAATAATGTATGTAGTATTATATTTTTTAAAAGTTATGTAGCAGTTTGACCCTAGGCGTAGACTTAGAAAGAACTGAGTTCAGGCCGGGTGCAGTGGCCCCAGCCTGTAATCCCAGCACTTTGGGAAGCCAAGGCGGGCGGATCACCCAAGGTCAGGTGCTCAAGACCAGCCTAGGCAACACGGTGAAACCCTGTCTTTACTAAAAATACAAAAATTAGCTGGGCATGGTGGCGGGTGCCTATAATCCCAGCTACTTGGAGGCTGAGGCAGGAGAATCACTTGAACTTGGGAGGTGGAGGTTGCAATGTGCCGAGATCGCACTACTGCACTTTGGCCTGGGCAACAAAGAGCAAAACTCTGTCTCAAAAAAAAAAAGAAAGGAAGAACTGGGTTCAAGTCCAAGGTCTGTCACTGAGTGACTTTGGACACTTGAATCTCTGCAAACTTATTTCATTTATTGTCAAATGAGAATAACAATAGTATCTGCTTACAATAATAGCATTTACAACAACTGGGTTGTTGTAAGAATTAAATAACATACTGTTTTTTAAGTCTAAGCTTATTATAAAGTTAACTATAATCTATAATTATTATTAAAGCTGAACTCTGGGCCAGACACGAGGGCTCACACCTAGCACTTTGGGAGGCTGAGTCGAGCAGATCACTTGAGGCCAACAGTTCAAGACCAGCCTGGCCAATATAGTGAAACCCCCATCTCTACTGAAAACAAAAAAAATTAGCTGGATGTGGTGGCACATGCCTGTAATCTCAGCTACTCAGGAGGCTAAGAAGCGCTTGAAACCAGGAGGTGGAGATTGCAGAGAGCTGAGATCGTGGGCCACTGTACTCCAGCCTGGGCTACAGGGCAAGACTCAGTCTCAAAAAAACCAGAACCAAAACCACACAAAATAAAGCTGAACTGTGGATATGATCTATTTTGTGGGGCTTTTTTTTTTTTTTTTTTGGAAACAAGTTCTCGCTCTGTCACCCAGGCTGGAGTGCCCATGGCTTACTGCAGCCTTGAACTCCTGGGCTCAAGCAATCCTCCCACCTCAGCCTCCCAACCAGCTGGGACCACAGGCATGTACCACCACACCAAACCAATTTTTTTTTTATAGAGCTGGGGTCTTGTTCTCTGCCTAAGCTGGTCTCAAAGTCCTGGACTCAACTGATCCTCCCACCTCAGCCTCCCAAAGTACTGGCATTATAGGCATGGGCCACCACACCTGGCCAATCTGATCTGTTTTGACATTACTTTGCTTACAAATGTTCTATATTATGTATATCAAGATGTATATCATATTATAAATACTATTACATATTATAAATAACAGCAAAAAACAAAATGAAAAATCATGTGCTAAACTTAGTACTTGGCATCAAGTGCTCGTTAAATGTGTTCCAAGGATAATAACAATTGAATGCAATCGTTTTCTTACCTTTCTTGTCCTTCTTTCCCACGGTAATTCTAGAACACTTTTTCCTTTTTACTCTTAAGAAAATAGTAACGATTTTCATGTGAATATAATTACCTCTGTTCCTCGGAGGTCCTTGGGAAAATAGACATCTTCAGTCATTTGAACACTTAGGCCAAAATCCACCAAAACAGCCTTTGTGGACATGAAAACAATGTTGCTAGCTAAAATAAGAGGAAATTTTTTTTTACGATAAAATGTCTTATATACTCACAAGTCAAATGAAAACATGATCTAAAACAATAATGAATCTCAAAGCAGAAAAGACTGAAATGCTTCCTCTTGTGAGATGGGTGTTTTATATTCAAAAGAGGAGAATGAATTTCAGAGCTTAGGTTGAAAATCACTTCAGATCCATCAAGAATTCAGTCAATGTGGGTATGAATGATGAGACCCCTTAATAATGTTCAAGAGCTTGAGTTTCAAACTCCAAGATGTAAGCATGCCATTGTCAAGCCACTTTTCTAAAACCGAAAACTCAAATATCCATTTTCTTTTTCCCCCAGTAAAAGTTGTGCCACTGTGATTTAGTACTGGCTATTGACGGCTACATGGGTCTCTCTTCCCTGCTTCCTCTTCATATCCCATCCCTAGAAAACAGCGAGTGAAAGTGTTTTTAATGGATTACTGTTGGGGTATGCAAAATGAAAAAGGGATTTGTTTCTCAAAAATATTTGTCTCTGTGTTTTTCTGTAAATTGCTATTTTTCTTTTTCTTTCTTTCTTTTTTTTTTTTTTTTTTTGGAGACTGAGTTTGCTCTTGTCACCCAGGCTGGAGTGCAATGGCGTCGTCATCTTGGCTCACTGCAACCTCTGCCTCCCAGATTCCAATGATTCTCCTGCCTCAGCTTCCCAAGTAGCTGGGATTAAAGGCATCTGAAACCACACCCAGCTAATTTTGTTTGTTTGTTTGTATTTTTAGTAGAGATGGGGTTTCACCAGTTGGCCAGGCTGGTCTCCAACTCCTGACCTCAGGTGATCCACCCGCCTCAGCATCCCAAAGTGCTGCGATTACAGGCATGAGCCACTGCACCAACCCTAAATTGCTATTTTAAAAGCCTTTTTAACAGGACAGTGCCTAATAGGTATGGAACAATAACCTTTCAACAACTGTTGAAAGTCATCTTTCCTTATGATTTTGAAAGCTCTAGCAACCTTGAATGATTCTAAGACACGTCTCTGGAGAAGGCAGATGGGCGGTGCTCTGAGGGAGCTGTCCACCCCCCGCCCGTGGAGGGTCTTCAGATTACAGGAAGGAGCTTGTCTGTCTGCTGAATAGTCTCTTTGAGCCACGTCCAAAGATACTTACGTTTAATATCATGATGGATCACTTTCTTTGAGTGTAGAAAATCAAGTCCCTTGAGAACATGCTTTGTCACCCAAATAATTTCAAATTCTCTCATTGGTCCACAGCTCTCCAATTTCTCCAGAACAGACCCTCCCTCGCCTGCTTCCATAAAGAGATGGACAGTTTCACCCCACAGGACCGCGCCGTACAACTCAGCAATGTTCTCATGCCGGAAGCATGCCTGGATTTCCACATCAGATGGCTTAAATTGATCTACTGGGATCTAGAACACAACAATATGAGCGAGATTCTTAACCCCAAAGTCATCTTAAAAATATATAATATAGGTCAATACAAAAAACAAAAGGCAAATAAATGCCCTCAAGAATACTCCGCCCTGTATGAAAATGGACTGTCCAGTTATTATAATGTTCACCTCAGATCTGCCTTTATCTGTCAGTCAGCTTTAAGTATAAAATTCAGAATAAGAAAATAAAAACCAAAACAATGAGTTATTATTTTCATTTAGAGATCAGAAATCCAACCAAGGTTTTAAAATTATGAATGAATCACAAAAGAGATAGTTTCCTACCTGTTAGACAACAGTATCTACAGTACCTAGATTTTAGGTTGTATTTTTAATATTTCAGTTTATTGTGAGATGATATGAAGTGTTTGTTGCCACAGTTCATATTCTGCTACAGCAATGTATTTAAAATAAGCACTGGGGCCATGCACAGTGGTTCACACCTATAATCACAGCACTTTGGGAGGCCGGAGTTTGAGACCAGCCTGGCCAACATGTCGAAACCCATTTCTACAAAAAATACAAAAATTAGCCAGGTGTTGGTGGTGCACACCTGTAATCCCAGCTACTCTCTTATTACTCTAATCCCATCACTTTGGAAGGTCCAGGCGGATGGATCACTTGAGGTCAGGAGTTCGAGACCAGCCTGGCCAACATGGTGAAACCCCATCTCTACCAAAAATGCAAAAAATTAGCCAGGCATGGTGGTGGGTGCCTGTAATCCCAGTTACTCAGGAGGCTGAGGCAGGACAATCTCTTGAACCCAGGAGGTAGAGGTTGCAGTGAGCCAAGACCTTGCCACTGCACTCCAGCCTGGACAACAAAGCAAGACTCCGTCTAAAACAAACAAACAAACAACAAACAAACAAAAAAACAGAACAAAACAAAACAAAACAAAAAACAACGGGATAGGGCCTTTTCAATCACTGATGTATTTAAATTCAGCCCTTAAATCTGCCTTCGTGAGAAGGCTACTCTTTCCCAGTGGCCTCTACCTGGCCAGCTCCACAGTGGCTGGAATAAAAGGAAAAGCGCACAGAATTGCTTCTACTTTGCAGGATGGCTCTTCTCTACTTTTCTCCAAGAGTGATGATGCTATTTATCCAAATCAGTGCTTAAAAAAACAACACTTTCCTTTTAATCATATACATCAAAATCAGCTGTGCACCTAAACAGAGATTTCGGGACTGAATGGCCCCAGGTAGCCCACAAATCCAGAAATACAGTTACAGTCTCTGTACATTTGGTACGATTACCCACAAATCCAGAAAAACAAATGCTTTGAGGCAGGGCACACTTGGATAAGATCTAATCAAAGGACAAAAATGTTTGGTTAATGCAAATGGACAAACAAACAAAAGGCAGAATGCCAAAGACACAGTGTGTGTTCTCTAGTTAGAAAACACATACCAGTTTACACGCCATTCTTTTCTTTGTCTTTATATCTTGTGCCAAGTACACCTTTCCAAAGGCTCCCCGAGGAATAAAATCAGAACCAATATTCCTGTAAGTCAGTTTCCAAGGGATCAGGAGAACATCAGAATCTATTTGGTAACGTCCATTCTGGGGAGTGATGACCTACAACAAAATAAAAATGAGACAGGGTGAGAACTTCAGTCAAGTTGGCTTTTTCTAAGCCCCACCCATTAGGGAGCTGATTATTTTAGAAGCATTCTGATACACAGTTACGAAATTAATGTCACTGTGGGTAATCCTACCAACTGTACAGAGACTGTAACTATATTTAGAGCTTGAGGAAGTCAGAGAAAGCATGTAACAGACACATACGCCTGGTCAGACCCGGTCATATTTCCACTTACTCATGAGTAATTAATTGCCAAATAGAACTTTAAAAATTATTTATCTGAAAAAGCATGACTACTGCAATCAGAAGGCTGAAAATAAAGATTGCGTAAATATAACCGTGCTTGCAAGTTGACTTGTTTCTATTAAAATGTGCGAACCTGTTAGTCTGCATAACTATTACTCGCACATGATGCATACAGATAAAGAGCTGATTAATTGAAGATCATGGAAGATTTTGAAAAGTCACGAGTTAAGCCAGAGCTATGAGTTGCCAATGCTATGTAAATTAAGTGATGGCAGAATTACTTCTCATCTACTTACTCACTTAATATCTATCGTGTACATTGTATCTATCACGTGCAAAATAGGTGCTAGGCGCACTGTTTGGTGCTGCAGAGGCAGCCATGAACAAGAGATGGCTGACCCCCGACCTCCCAGGGTTCAGGAGCAAGCCGACTCTTTGAATGACAAGTTTTGAAATCAGTTGATTCAAAAATTAAGAGACAGCTGGGAGCAGTGGATAACACCTTGTAATACTAGCACACTGGGAGGCTGAGGCAGGTGGATGACTTGAGGCTAGGAGTTCAAGACCAGCCTAGGCAACATAGCGAGACCTCATCTCTACAGAAAAAAATAATAATAAAAACACAATATAAATTTTAAAATAATAAAACAAAAATTAAGAGTTGTATTCTGATAGCAATGTGGGTTTCAAGGACTCGTGCATTTGTCAAAACTCACAAAATTGGACATTTAACATCTGTGTATTTGACTATATATGAAGAACATTTCAATTTTTAATTTAAGACTGGCTCCACTGAGGATTTGAACCAGCAACCTTGCAGTTGCAGGCCTTATGCTTTAACTACCGTGCTAACAGGTCACTTATTTCAATTTTTAAAAAGGAGAAAATTAGAAGAGAAAATAATTATAATTAAAAACTAAAACAAAATAATATGGTGGTCCACGAAAAATGCGATCTGAAATGCATACCTATAACATGTCTAAAGTGTTCTTTCAAGGGATAAAAAGCCCCAATACTAGTTTTTCAACGTAATCAGTAATATTACGCCTTCTGATTCTGAATTCAGGAATTATGAAACTATCTTCTTTCTTTTCTTTTCTTTTCTTTTCTTTTCTTTTCTTTTCTTTTCTTTTCTTTTTGAGATGGAGTCTCGCTCTGTCACCCAGGCTGGAGTGCAATGGCGCTATCTTGGCTCACTTCAACCTCTGCCTTCCAGTTTCGAGGTATTCTCTCACCTCAGCCTCCCAAGTAGCTGGGATTATAGTTGTGCACCACCATGCCTGGCAAAATTTTGTATTTTTAGTAGAGACAGTGTTTTACCATGTTGGCCAGGCTGGTCTAGAACACCTGACCTCAAGTGAGCAGCCCACCTTGACCTCCCAAAGTGCTGAGATTACAGGCATGAGCCATAGTGCCTGGCTCAGGAATTATGAAACTATCAAAAGACCTTAACTTATTTCAAGTAACAGAAGAAGCTGAACAGCTAGGTGCGGTGGCCGATAATCCCAGCACTTTGGGAGGCTAACTGAGGTGGGAAGATTGCTTGAGGCAGAAGTTCAAGACCAGCCTGGGTGACACAGTGAGACCACCCTTTCTGTTGCATGTAAAATGTACAAGAAGCAGCAGCAGCTGAAGGAGAATATGACAAATCCCCAAATCTACCACATGGGAAGAGAATGAAATCCTGAGTCATCTGCAGATGCGTAGGACTTTTCTCTCGGGACACTGCTACAGAAATAGTTCTAGTAACTGTAAGGGCCATTCATTCAACTCCACCACTGCTAATTTTAGCTACACATCCCATAAACAGATGTGTTCACTATTAGGGAATAAAGCAGAGACTAACTCTAATGCATAGAAATATGAAGTCATTGAATTTCAAAACTCAATTATCTACTGAGTGCTTCTGCTGTGTGAGACCCTGTGCGGGGGCCCGAGAGCTAACATAAATACGTGCAGATGGCGATCTTGCCTTGTTTGAAAGATGACCTCCTTTCAAGAAGTATGTCGCCTCTGGTCGCTGGAGGCCTCTTTGGCAGCGTGCTGAGAACATGATGGATTTAGTCCCTTTTCACATTCAGACAGAACCCTACACACGACACTCAACAGCCTTGCTTCCTTTCCCTTTCTTGTCATTAAATATTTACAGGCCTGATTTCACCGCACCTTCCAGTGAACCATCTCTGTGTTCAACTTACCTTCATGAAAGTTTCCTCAACCTAACTTTGTTATAATCCAATTTGTTTTTCTGTTTGTTTTTGTTCTGAGATGGAGTCTGGCTCTGTTGTCCAGGCTGGAGCGCAGTGGCTGGAGGGGAGTGGCAGATCTCAGCTCACTGCAACCTCCACCTCCCAGGCTCAAGCGATTCTTGTGCCTCAGCCTCCCAAGTAGCTGGTATTACAGGCATGCTCCACCATGCTTAGCTAATTTTTGTATTTTTGGTAGGGACAGGGTTTCACCGTGTTGGCCAGGCTGGTCTCAAACTCATGACCTCAAGTGTTTCACCCACCTTGGCCTCCCAAAGTGCTGGGATTACAGGTGTGAGCCACAGGTGCCTGGCCTATAACCCACTTTGAACCAGTGTCCAAGAGGACAAAAGATAATTTCAGCCATTTGTTGAGTGCTAACTACAGCACAGTGCTCTGTACTTCAATACATTATCTCCTCAAAGTTTACAACAATAGTTTGAAGTTAACTGCTATTTTTATCTTCATTTCACAGATGAGGAAATTAACTTCAAGAGGTTAAGAAATATGCTGGTTAGCGCAGGCATTAGGAATTCAAACTCAGATCTGTCTGACTCCAAAGTCGTATCTCCTAGTTTGGGTAAGAGCCTTTTATCTTCCAGAAGGCCATAATTAAAGCTGAGCTATGATGAAACCCCAGTTATTAAATGCCGGGTTATAAAAATAACTCAGTTACTTTTGTGTTTACATATTTTCTGAGCATGCCTTAGCCTTCTCCCCTATAGATCAAATAATGCAAGTTCCTTCACCCCCATTCACCCCTATTTTATAACTTCTCACATGCAGGAGACCCTGCTCTCAATACCTGTGAGTTCTCCTAGGCTCCTTTCATGACTGGCCGTGAATTTCCAGTGTAATGTGCAAGTCTTGACCAGTTCATAGTTCTGCAAATGCCTGGTTCTTGCCTAGCCCTAGATCTCCTGCATTAATTTTTTTTTTCTTTTTTGAGATGGAGTTTCGCTCTTGTTGCCCAGACTGGAAGTGCAGTGGCACAATCTCAGCTCACTGCAACCTCTGCCTTCCAGGTTCAAGAGATTCTCCTGCCTCCGCCTCCCTAGTAGCTGGGATTACAGGCGTGCGCCACCATGCCCGGCTAATTTTGTATTTTTAGTAGAGACAGGGTTTCTCCATGTTGGTCAGGCTGGTCTCGAACTCTGCATTTAAATTTGAGATGGGTTTTTTTCTTCTTTCTAGCAGCCCTTATAAAAACAAAATGTTGTTTTAAAGACAGGGTCTTGCTCTGTCACCTAGGCTGGAGTGCAGTGGCACCATCACAGCTCACTGCAGCTTCAACCTTCCAGGCTCAAGCAATCCTCCCACCTCAGCCTCCCAAGTAGCTGGGACTAAATCACCTGGCTGATTTTAAAATATTTTATAGAGATAAGACAGCCCAGGCTGGTCTCAAACTCTTGGGCCCAAGTGATCCTCTGGCCTTAGCCTCCCAAAGTGTTGGGATTACAGGCTTGAGCCACCATACCCAGCCCTATCAAACCATCTTAGGGAAGTCTATGCTGTTTATCTCTGTCAATTCTTCAACTTACCAAAATAATCTCTAAGGGCAGACATTACAAGCACACTTTCTATTTCCTCATTCAGATCATCATTATTTATACTAAATAGCACTGGGCCCAGAAGCAGCATTTGAGAAAAAATTTTTAAGTATTATAGTAAGAATAAATTCCACGAGTGACCTGCATGATATGCTACTATGAAACAGACATGGTGTTGATCTATATTCATGTAGACATATTATCTAGCACAAAGGCCAAGTGACCTCTGTCCTATTCTGCTGATCACAACAAATGGATGCTCACATTCAAAACCGGCTCTAAGATAGACACTGATACAAGCTTGAGTTCCCAGGGTCCTGCCAAGATGATGAGAAAATTTAACAGTACAATACATGAGAAGTTGTGAACACATTGGAAATGTATGTGAAAGAAGAGAGAACATGTGGGTAATATGGAATTTAAACAATTTCAGAAGGACTGTCATAAGGAAGGGGTGTAACAGTTGTATACAACAGTAACGCCCACAATGGCTTGCATTTATTAAACACTCATTATGTGTAACGAGGTCACGTGTTCATTAATTGCTCCAAATATCAACCCTATAGAGTGTTATGATGTTTCCCATTTTATGGTTGAGTAAACTGAGGCAAAGGGGGTGAAATGACCAGCCCAAGGTCACACAGCCAATCTATTTCAGAGCTGAACTACATAAGCCAAGTACTTTAATTCAGGGCCCATCGTCTTCACCACTGCTCATCACAGGTAGTTTTTTTTTTAAATGGTCAAAAAGTCGGGCTTGCACTATATGGTCAGAGATGAAAATTTTGGTTCTATATAAGGAAGAGAACTTTCTTGCAATCAGGACTGGACAAAGAGGAAATTCTGTGTCCCAGTGTGTCAGGAGCACCTTGTCACAGTCGGTTTTCAGGAGCAGACCAAAATGTTCTACCAATTATTGGAGATGATGAACAGGGTGATTTGAGTCCCAGACAGAGGGCTGGACCTCAGGTATCTTTAAGGCTTTTCAACTCCGAAGTCATGACTCCATGACTAAGCCCTAAGGACCATCTTCAGCATCTCACACTTACAGCTATAAAGTTGTAAAAAAAAAAAAAAAAAAAGGGTGAAGGTTTTCTGGTTCTTCATTTCCATCAAACCACCAAAGAGTTGAGTGTATGAAACCCATTTTAGATTATTTGTTCCCAGGCCAGGTTATGAAGCAGCGTAGATGATCAATAACACTTGGCACTCTTACGCAGAGCGTTTCCCAGGTTAATCTCCTAAACTGTCTCCCCCAGGTCTTGCTGGATGCCGGTGGGATCTTTAACAAATATTATTTTGAGTACAATCACACAGACATACAATCACTAAACATGCCTGTGCTTCAGGATGCTTTTGTAATTCCTGGTTCTGCACTCTAAGTAACTCCATGGTGTTGTGGTTGCGGGCTGCCTGACACATCAGGTCTCTGTGACTCTGGGTCTCTGCACATGCTGTTCTCTCCATCTGGAACCCTCTCCATGTCATCTAGCTGACTCCAACTCAATGCTTCAGACCTTAGCTTAGGCATCCATCCTTCTTGGAAGGTGGTGCTGACATTCTCCTTCCTTCTCCCACACTCATGGCTACGTCAGGCCCCCCGCCTGCGCATTGCAAGAGCAGTGTGCAGGTGTTCTGGGAGGCAGCACACTCTGCGACAATTGCCCATTCAACTGCATCCTGCATGCTCCAGGCAGCAAACTCCCAGAGGCACAGACTGTTCCATACTATCTCGAAGGCCTGACACACTGTATATAGATGTCCCAGCTATGTCTAGCAAATGAAAGAGTAAATCGTTGAAAGTTTCCCCATCCCTATGTGGAGATATAATATAGATGGATTTTACCTAGGAACCAATCTGTGTAGTCGATAATCAGCTGCTATTATTCTAAAGCTGAGAGACAGAGAGCAGCAAATGAAGCCCAGTTGAGTAAAGTTTTGGTAGGGTAGAGGGTAAAAGATAATGAGAACAGAAAGACCTCCAGCACTGATGATTCCAAGTAGAACACCGTGTGAGGATGAAGGGGAGTCGAAAGCAAGCTTTGCCTCCCTTACCATCCTGACTGAAGTGACTGTGATCAGAGATGACAGTCCCCATTCCTAGGCTATCATTTATGAAGCATGGAGCTCCGAGGAGTCACCTAGCAGGCACAGCAATGTAGTCCATCTTTAAGGTCAGCGGCAGGAAAGTCAACCACAGCCCCCCAGAGCCGTTGCCCACTAGGTCGATTTGCCTAGTGAGGCCACATGTAAGATCCACTGGATTTTAAGGTCCTCCTCTTATTCTATTCTGTTTTTTAGTCTTCTTGTTTTATAAGTTATATTCTTGATCATTTTTAAAATAAAAATCTTTTCAAAGTTTTTCAAGATTCCTGCCTTTACTTATTTGCTTATTCTTAAACTTTGTCCTGGCCTGGCACGGTGGCTCACACCTGTAATCCCCGCATTTTGGGAGACTGAGATGGGCAGATCACCTGAGGTCAGGAGTTCCAGACCAGCCTGGCCAACATGGTGAAACACTGTTTCTACTAAAAATACAAAAATTGGCTGGGTGTGGTGGCAAGTGCCTGTAATCCCAACTACTCGGGAGGCTGAGGCAGGAGAATTGCTTGAACCCAGGAGGCAGAGGTTGCAGTGAGCCAAGATCATGCCAAAGCACTTCAGCCTGGGTAACAGAGTGAGATTCTGTCTCAAAAAAAAAAAAAAAAATTCTCTTTAATTATGTACTTCTTCATTTAGAGAGTACAGGACCCATGGCAGGTAATGCAAACATTTTACTCAAAACCTTTGCTGATACAATTTTGCCCCTCCTCTTAATGTCTTAGTCTCTCTCTTTTTAAGGATTAACTTTTCTGGCCCTACTCCTAAAAGACTTCAGAAGGCTATTTCTTTGTATTTCTTCAAATTTTCCTGAATTCCTTTCTGTACATTCCCAGATAGGCTAGGGGAATAGCCAAACATCTTTGCATGTTTTTGCGCATTTACAAGCAAGAATAATTTGTTTTTTCTCCATATTTTCATTTAAAATACTCATTTTATAGAAGGAGGATTTAAAAATTTTTAATACCCATTTTAACAAATAATATGCTAAAAATGAGAGAAATACACAATTATATTTCTCAATGTAGACATCTATATTACTTTGAACCTGAGTTCTTCAACTATCCTTTAGTTGGAAAATCAGATATGGCTTCTAGTTAATTACTTCTCATTTATAAAAGGAAGAAACATTCTGATGGTAAAGTACCTAGTCAACTATTAAATAGAACTTGGTAGATCCAGACCAAAGCAGTCAAACAACAATGCAAAATGTAATCTTGCCCCATGGTGAGCTGTGGTTGAATACGACCGGCTTCTGACAAAACAATTCACTGCATAGCTGACCTAAATTACTGTGTTGTTTCTAACTAAATGAATGCAGTATACAAAAAAACAAAATAAGTAAGTACAACTCATTCAGCACCGACCTTCCCCCAAATTAGCCATTTTGCCATCTAGATACACCAAAAGAAAGGGCATCACTTTCATCAATAAGCATCTTTTGTAAGTTACCACCTACTCCTTGGCAAATTATTCTTTTTCAAAAAATTAGGTTACTTTTAGCCAGCACCTGTGTTCACCCCTGACCTACTAAAAGCCTGACAGAATCCCAGGCACACCTAAACACATCACCTGATCTACTCTTACGGCAACGAAATGTTGCCACAATATTTTGCATGATTTACATACTTGGGATGACTAAGCAATTATATCATTTGCCATTCATACTTTGCCAATTAAAGAGAGTGAATCTGTGGATATCTATTTACTGCCTACATATTGCTTTTTTGCAAGAAATTAATAACATTTCAAGATGTGACCAAAAAGGAACAAATAATTCAGCCTTCAAGAAGATGAATTAGTGAAAAAGTGTTTATTCCCCTCTCAGACGAAGGAATCTCCTTAGGCCGTTCTTTTCTGTATAACTGATGAATAAACTTTCTAATGAATTGTTAAATTAAAATACATTCTGATTTGTTGTTGTTGTTGAGACAGAGTCTCACTCAGTCACCCAGGCTGGAGTGTAGTAGCGCAGATCTTGGCTCACCACAACCTTCCTCTCCTGGGTTCAAGTGATTCTCCTGCCTCAGCCTCTCAAGTAGCTGGGATTACAGGTGCCCACCACCACGCCTGGCTGATTTTGTATTGTTAGTACAGATGGGTTTTCACCATGTTGGCCAGGCTGTTCTCAAATTCCTGACCTCAACTGATCCACCCAACTTGGCCTCCCAAAGCGTGGGGATTACAGGTGTGAGCCACTGCACCCGGCCAAAATACATTCTTCTTAATTACCTATTTGTAGAAATACTACCAAAATATGATCAAGATTCTTTAAATAGAACTTTTAATGAAGACTTTTTTTTTTGCATCTTTAACATGGAGGTACTTCTTAGTGATGATTACATATTTTTAAACCATACCTGGCAGCCCATCTAAACCAAGTTCAGACACCACTCTGCATTAAATGAAGCTGCAGTAGGAAAGCTGAGCACACAGCACTCAACTGATGGGAAAGAAACGTACCATGTTTAACAAAATTCCAGATTCTTGTGGTCGCTGTCCATAAAAACGCTTTGCAGTGTTGGATATATGGTTTGCAAAAGCAAGCAAATCTTCCACGGTTCCATATCTGACTGATGACAACCATGGTACCTCTTTGCCACTAAGCAGCAGAGACTCAGAACGCTCATCATTTTGATTGCTGTCTTCACACACGGTCATTAGACTGGGTTCATAAACTGCTGGCTCTTCACTTGCATAAAGGTTTTCCATAATGTCTATTACATCGGACACATTTAAGTGTTTAATTAATAAATCAATCTCTTCTTTATTGTCACTTCCAGTGCTCATGTACTCCATTACTGTTACACTTTCTGGAGAGTCTAGAAAAGAAAAGACAAATACTTAGCTTACAATATTTGTATTTGCATTCAAGACCAACGGGAAAGTGACATACGAGGATTGGCAACAGCTTTTTATTTTAGAAAACGAGGGTTCTGTGTCAACTGTGTGTGTGAATTCAAGTTGACAGTGCAGAATTGAAAGGGACCTAAGATAACCTTTAGTCCAGCTCACTTTGCAGAGGGGAAACCTGAGATCCAGAGAGCTTACTCTTACTCATGGAGTCAGTGATATCACCTACAGCCAACTTTCACTAAACATACACACGAATCAAGAGCAGCTGGGGAATCTGAATTCCTCTCAGGTTTCCGGCTCCTTAGGGCTTCCAACCTTACACAACCCAGCTATTCCCCCAAAGTGGCACCCTCCCTGCAAGAATTGCTATGACTTTTTTAAGCCTCCGGTGACTTTAAAGAACTACTTCGCTAAGTGCAGGAACTAACTTGGCAAACAAAACTCAGGCCCTGAAAGCCAGAAGCTGGAAAAATGAATTTCAATCTAGGCAAATTTGATGGCAATAGGTCAAGTTTCAGGAATGATTCTTAGGCAAATGAGTTAAACAGCTCATTGGAAGAAGGACAGGGAGCCTTGTTCTCCCAGTGATGAACCTAAGATGATGATACATTTAACCTGTGATTCAGCTGTCCTCCCTTTAAGACCAAAATTCTTTAATAGTGCAAGGCAAACATCTTGAGGGACCCGAAGAGTAATATCTGGATAAATGGCCCTCTAGAAGCTGTGAGGAGTAGAAAGAAGCCAGGCAAGTCAAATCCATCATAAGCAAGGCCAAGTGACTATATTAACCAAAACTGCCTTTCAGTTCTTATATACAAATCAACTGCCACACTTAGAGATCTGTAGACGAGAAAAAGAAAGTAAAGCAAGGGCAAGAAGTGACGCTGTTACTCAGGATTTTAGAACAATTTCATTCTGAAGGAGAAGAGATAAAAGGCTATAAGAGATCTATGAGAATTTCAAAGCACACTGCTCTACTTAAAGCATTGCTGGCACTCCCGAAAGCACAGCCTCTCTCTGAAAAGTATTTCAAGTTCTTAAAAACACAAGCCTTTAACAAACAAGACACTCAGGGCTAAAGCCACGCACCTCTGATCAACCTGGAGCTTCAGTTCAAAGCTCAGGAAATGCTCCACTGCAGAGCCACCTGCACGCATGACCCAGCCATCTGCATCTCAGTAAATTTTATTTTCAAAATTTGTGCTCAATTTGCAATTTAGTGTCATCATTAACTTACTTGATGGTCATTTTCTGAAGTATAAATCATGTCTAAGGAAAGTGGTCTAGCACCTAATCCAACATTCCTCTGGTCTCAGACTGCTTGGAATCAAATCTCATCGCCTCCCCTCCCCCCACACACCCCCATTTATTGCTTGCATGACCCTGAGCAAGTCTCTTAACCTCTCTCGACCTCAATTTTCCCCATCTGTAAAATGGAAGTCATAAAAGCACCTACCTCATGAGGTGGTGGTGAGGATTAAAAGAGTTCAAGCTCATAAAGTGCTCAGTGCAGGGTCAGGGGCATGGTAAATAAGCTGTGTCATTTTTAGCTGCTTTATATGCATGAGAGAGAAAAGTACTGAGTCAGATACTGCGTTAGCCTCCTTTCTTATCTGCAAATGAGACTATCTATTCCCCTGGCTTCTTCGAAGTAAGAAGATAGCATCTCAAACAAGACACAAAGAGAAAAAAAAGGCAGAAACCTATGAAATGCTTTGATGGCTGTTATCACCACAGTGAAATCTAGAGTGAGGAGGCAGCTTCCCCTCCCGATATCGTCTACATCCTCGAGGGAGATTGTGATTCAGGTTCTTGGAGTCTACTGAGTTAGGAAAGGAACTTCTTAGGTTAATGGAGGAACGTTTGACTTCGGTTTTACTGAGCTGCTGAGCTGCAGTTTCTGCTTGCTGAATTTAATGGAAACACAGAAGTTAAAACAGAAACAGCCGAATTTGGGGCCTCAGGTTGAAAGGATCCAAGTCTCTTGGATTATTTAGCAAATGGATGACTTGACAGAAAAAAAAATGTTGTCAGTACTAACATGACTCAAGAAAGAAACAGGGAAAAAGTCCACACAGTTCAAATTCACTCAGCTGATCCAGAAAGACAAATTCTAGAGGTTTTTTGGTTTTTGTTTGTTTGTTTGTTTGTTTGTTTTTAATTATTAGTAGTAATATTCTTTTCTTTATTCTTTTTTTTTTAATTGGGGGGTGGTTCCTGTGAAAATTGGAAATTCTAAATGACAAATCCTAAAAGAGCTATAACACAAGGTTTTGGTTTTTAAATCCTGCAAAGTCTCAAGCATTTATATGTAAAACCCAAGAGCTTAAACACACAGATCCACACCCGTAAACTGAAGGTTGCCAGGAACGCGGAGAGGGAGGGGAGCAGGACCGGGAGGTGGAGGAGTGTCTGACGCTGAGACTTTTCTCAGGGCCTGCATTAATTCCTTAGCAACACAGGGCTCCTGTCACGCAAATCTGTGTTCCCCAGAAACCCTGCTGACCAGTGATCCTGCTAACTGCTCCTGCAAAAAGCCTCAGCACTTTCCAGCCTTAATTAAGCACACAATATGCTAAGAGTTTCTGGGTTATTCATGATCTGTACCCATCCAGAGAAAGTTCGGATTGTGACGGTATTCTAGTTTGGCACTAAAGACATTTAGTATAAGATGATTTTCCCCCTAACACAGTTTATAATAAAAGACTTCATAAAATTCCTGCTTCCTAATTGAACAGAAAATTATGCCCACTTTTGGAATTGGAGAGATGTGCAAATACAGTCAAAATTAGTTACACTGAATTATTTCAGAAATCAGCAATAAAATCGTGAGGAAATTCTGTTCCTAAACATTAACATAATACCCTTGGCTGCTTCCATATACACAAACAAAATTTGAGTATTTCCTGGCAAGTGTGAATGAAAATGGCCAATGTGCCAGCATATGCTTCTGCCTAACAAAGAATGACTAGTCCTTGTGTTATTTCCCATCTAAAATATTTTTTTAGGCCGGGTGCAATGGCTCACACCTGTAATCCAGCACTTTGGAGGCCAAGGAGGGTGGATCACCTGAGGTCAGGAGTTCAAGACCAGCCTGGCCAACAAGGTGAAACTCTGTCTCTACTAAAAATACAAAAATTAGCCAGGTGTGCCCGCGGGCGCCTCTAATCCTAGCTACTGGGGAGGCTGAGGCAGGAGAATCGCTTCAACCCGGGAGGCGGAGGTTGCAGTAAACTGAGATCCGGCCATTGCACTCCCGCCTGGGCGACGAGAGCAAAACTCCGTATAGGTATATATATTCCTGCCAAAATAGGGCACATTTCGGATTATGTTTTTGTTCTCAAAAAGCCCTGGAATGATGCCTTTCAGGCGTTTAGAAGAAAGGACCGCCACCCTGCTTCAAAGCCTCAACGTTCCCATTTTCCCTATATGACAAAGTTCTCATGGGCCACCTGCCAGGCGTCCTGCACCCAGACCTCAATCCTTCGGAGAGAGTTGGGGGCGTCAGCTGGAAGTGGATTACAGTCCCCTTGGCACAAACGACTCAGGCCACAGGTATGTGAAGCAACTGCAAGAGCCTTTCTTTCCCTGTTTTTATCAAGAGCAGCCTTTTCTCTTCTCTTCCCAAAAGTGAAATAGATAAGCATCGCAAAGCTTCCCTCTTAAGGCAGCCGATGGCCTTCCCCTGTTAACTTTGGAGACAATCCCTGTGCTCGCCAAGTGTCCTTCTCCGCCCAGAGCTAGAAAAATTTCGAAGTCCTGATCAAGCTTTATCTCTCGAAAACAACTTCCGTGAAAATAACTTTTTTTTTCTCCTAGTATTTTTTCTTAGACCAAAAGCCCGGCATGCCTGTTCTGCGATGACCTCTTTAGTCACGGGATACAGTCCAGGTTACAAACTTGAATTTCGTTTCAGCCATTCACAAGTCTCTCGGCTCCGCCACCCCACACTCCCACTCCCTTCCTCCCGGTTCTCTCTCCCTTTAGTCAAGGGAGGCTAAAAAGCTTGTAAATTGTCAAAGCACCCATCATTTGGGAGGATCGCGTCCTCCAGCCTCCGAGCTGCACTCACCGTATCGGGCAGGTAGAGTGCGGCCGTCCCAGCGGCGTCGGCGACGGGAGGCTCAGTGACAGCGGGTCCCTGCTTCCCCGCGCACTGTCCAGACCAGCACTGCCCTGGCGCTGCGGATCCGGGAAGGAGGAGGAAGGGGGAGGAGTCGCGAGTCTGCACCGCGTGAGAGCCTTGCGCAAGGTGCTTTCCAGCTGTGCCTGGTGCAGCCGGCGACCCGGGAGCGCAGCTGTGGGCACACCCCCACCCCTTCCCACGCCAGAATTCCCCTCTGCTGGGGGCACCCTCCATTTCTGCATGGGAATCCCCGGGCACCCATTCGTGATGCGACCCGAAAGACATGCCCGAGACCCCTAACCCTGGGTTACCTGCGGCCTCGGTGCTCCCACGCCTGCCGAGCGCTCCAGCCGCGGCCCCCCGACGGTTCGGTGCGCAGCTGGCTGCAGGCCCGTGGGAACCGGGCACGCCGGGCCACCGGGATCCGGCGGCGGCGGCGGCAGAAGCAGGAGCCAGGGCGCTGGACCCCAGAGCGTGGCGCGCCGTCCGGAGCTGCGCGGACTAGTGAGCCCCGCGTCGCCAGCGCGCCCGGACCTCCCTGCTCTGCCCCTGACTCATGGCGTCTGAGCCGGCCCAGGGGCGGCGCAGCGGACGCCAGCCACCGCCTCCCCGACTTTTCCATTTCCCCTTTCTCTCCGTAAACAGAAAGAGAAGGCCAGATTGAAGGGGAAGCCAGAGCCCCCGCGCTGGGAAATTCCGCGCCCCCCAGCCCCCCCGTTTGCCCTCGGCGCTCCGGGGCGGAGCTGGAGGCGGGACGAGGGAGGAGCTGAGCGGCGCTAGGGGAGGGGCGCAGTACTGGAGCTGCGACCCGAGTGGAGGGCCTGGGACAGGGACGAGTTTTCCCCCGGGCCTGGTGACCCAAGGCGTCCTAATGGCAGTGTTGCAAGAGGCGGTTGTGCCCTTTCCCGGTCCCCAGGGAAGGTCGTATATCTCAGTGTACTCGAGCCCTCCGCCCTTCTCTGGAGTCCCAGGGTCCGGCGGGAGTTGGGGGGGTGGCGCGGTCTCCAGACCTTTTTCCTAGCGCCCCACGCCCTGGGACCACAGAGGCGCGGCACGCCCTCCCATGCGTGCTGCGGGAGGCGGGGGCTTTTCGGGTCTTCTGGAATCCCGGACTGTGGGTCCGGTTGCTAGTAGCACGGCCCCGCCTCTCCCAGATTTCGCTTCAAGTCCACACACAATGAGGGCAGTGACCCGTGGTGTGCACGCGAGGACTCGGGCTTAGAGATTCCTAAGAGGCTGTCGCAGGGTGAGCCCGAAACCTGGGTGTTGGGCACTTGGCGGAGGGTCCGTGCACTCTGCCTGCAGAACCTGGTTTTCTTCTTTACAGCCTTTATTAAAATTGGTTATTTTGCGGCACCGCCTTATTAGTAAGCGTACCTGTACTGATCTCAACCCATTCCCCACGCCCCTCTAACCCTTCTCCAGGGGAAAGCGTTTACTCCAGGTGTAACCGGAAGAGAGTTCTAGAGAAAAGCGCCTCTCTCCCGAAACCCACTCTGCGGGACATTCCCAATGACCCGACACCCCTCCCCCTACGTTTCCCACCTATCAAGCATCCACTTTAGCCAGGCATTCGGCCAGAGCGCAGAGGCAAGACATGGGGTGTCCCAGGCACAATCCACATCAAACGCGGTCGCAAACCGAGTCCACGCCCTGTTCTTCCCGGTGCCCAGGCCGGTGCTCCCTCTGCAGTTGCAAAACTGGCCCCGCGCCGTGGCACACGCCCGTAATCCTAGTGGTTTGGAGGCTGAGGAGGAAGGATCACTTGAGGTCAGGAGTTAGAGACCAGCCTGGGCAACACAGCTACTCCGTCTCCATTAAAAAAAAAAAAAAAAAAATTCTAAAAATTAGCCAGACACGGTGGCTCACGCGTGTCATCCCAGCTACTCCGGAGCTGAGGTGGGAGAATTCCTTGAGCCCAGGAGTTCGAGGCTCCCATGAGCTACGATCGTGCCATGGCACTCCAGCCTGGGCGACAGAGCGAGGCCTCGTCTCACATTTAAAAGATAAAATAATTTTTAAAAAAATCTGACTTGGACCCTTACTAGAGCCCTCCACGTTTCTGCTATGGAAAATGAATTGCAATTCCGACCTGAAGATGTACTGAGAGAATTGCTGGAGGGGATAGGTTAGCTGAGGTGACAAGCTGGGGCCTCTTTGCAGGACTTTAACTCGCAGACAAGCCCAGGTAGCAAATCCATCGTCGAGGGCTGATTGTCTGACGGGGCACTGCCATCCTCCAAGTTATTTTAAATGCGACAGCGATTTCATATTATACTCATTCATCTCATCAAGCCGGACATTTGCCATTCCCTCCAAATCTCCAGGCGGTCCCTTGCACCTACAGGGGAACAGCTTCCTAAAGGCTGTGCCTTTCTGATCGTGGAGGGAGGGAAGACAGCTTCCACCAACCTGGCTGCACAGACCCGGCAGAAGCAGCCTGGGCCGGGGCTGGAGAGGAGACGCCCGGCTCGCCTGCGCGCCGGATGGGTGGCATTTGGCATTGGCTCAAGCGCTGAAGCAAAAGTTATCAATACACTTTTGGCCTTTTCGCTGGAAACCAGGTTAGCCCAGGTTGCTGCCTCTGATTGTAACGTGAGAGATTGAGAGACGTCTCTTTCTCCTCTGCGGTGTTTAGACAACAAAGGATGATCTTTACACGAGTTTTAAAAATAGAAAGATGGAATCACTACCCTCCCCACCCGCCTTGAGTGAGCTCATTAAAACCACACCTAATCTTCTGGGAACTGCATTATTAGCCTTACTTCCTACATAGACGTCTCCCAAATAAAGCTGCATTTTAGGGAGCTGGTGAAGTGCTGGGCTAGCAGAGTTCTCTCTTGCTTCTCCTGGCTTACACCATAGCAGGTTTCATCTTTTGGGGTGAATTAGGTGAGTTTACTTGAAAATATTTGTGAAGTTTTTAACAAGGAGGTCAAAAGGAAAAGAGAAACTGAAAAGAAAGAAAAAGTTTGTGGGCTCTTTGCATTTATTTATTTATTTGAGACAGGTTCTTGCTCTGTCACCCTGGCTGGAGTGCAGTGGGGCAATCTCAGCTCACAGCAACCTCCACCTCCCCAGCTCAAGTGATTCTCCCACCTCAGCCTCCTAGATAGCTGGAACTACAGGCACACGCCGCTACACCCAGATTATTTTTGTATTTTGGGTAGGGTTAGAGATGGGGTTTTGCCATGTTGCCCAGGCTGGTCTCAAACTCCTGAGCTCCATCAATCCGCCCAGTTCAGCCTCCCGAAGTGTTTGCATTTTTCTTGGTCTGGCTTTTGTTTTGATTTTTATTCCGATTTACAAAAACAATCCTGCTCTTTTAGGGGCATGCTAGCTAAGTGAGGTTTTGTTTCTGTTTGCTTGTTTTTGAGATGGAGTCTTGCTCTGTCACCCAGGATGGAGTGCAGTGCCATGATCTTGGCTCACCACAACCTCCACCTCCAGAGTTCAAGTGATTCTCCTGCCTCTGCCTCCCGAGTAGCTAAAACTATGGGCGAGTGCCACCATGCCCAGCTACTTTTGTATTTTTAGTAGAGACAGGGTTTTCACTACTTTGACCAGGCTAGTCTTGAACTCCTGACCTCGTGATCTGCCTGCCTCGGCCTCCCAAAGTGCTGGGATTACAGGCATGAGCCACCACACACAGCCACTAAGTAAGTTTTAAACCTATCAGTGAGAAGTCCCTTAAGCCAGCGTGCACAACCATAGGGGGTTACTCTAGAAGTGATCCGAAAGCACATTACAAAGCAGCTCTATAGAAGCTTTTTGAAGCAAGCAAAATGCATTTGCAAATGAGGTGGTAACCAGTTGCAGTTTACCTGAAGAGGCTTGCTCCACTCACAGGTGGGGACGTTAATGGGTTTGTAGTATGTAGTTTGGAACTCTGAATTATTTTACTCACAGAAAAAAATATTAACAATGGGTAGGTAACCCTGTTGACCCAGTAACCAATGTAACCACAATTGTGCTCTAGACTAATTAATATATGAGGCATTGTTTCTCAGTTTTTAATATTCATAAAATATGGAATTTTGTGAATAAAATAAACTGCAATAAATTGGAGCATAGCTATGGGTCACCTGGTGAAAATATGCATTTTTTTTTGTAAAATAGAAACACAAAGTATTGAAGGAAAATAATTACATACATAATTTGAATAAAGTTTTAAATGAGATAGTTTTAAAGTTCAGAGGAACTTGCGCATGATTTCATGACTGTAACTTTTTCTTTATGGTTTTGTGTTGAAACAGCTATACATATTTGCTAATCAAGATGTTTGAATAACAACCTCTTCATACTTTTGATAATAACCTTCAGGTGAGAAGCTTTACTGACACCTGGGTAATAAATTTACAGCTATTACTGTTGTCTTAAATTGTAAACAATTTGAAACTGAATTTTAAAAGTCTAGTAGCTCTTTTTCCTTTCATTAATGTGTATAAGTTTCTTTTTCTTTTTCTTTTTCTTTTTGAGATGGAATCTTACTCTGTTATCCAGGCCTGTGTGCAATGGCACAATCTCAGCTCACTGCAACCTCCACCTCCCAGGTTCAAGCAATTCTCCTGCCTCAGCCTCCCAAGTAGCTGGGATTACAGGTGCTCGACACCACGCCCCTCCTGGCTAATTTTTTGTATTTTTAGTAGAGACGGGGTTTCACCATGTCAGCCAAGCTGCTCTTGAACTCCTGACCTCTGGTATCCACCTGCCTTGGCCTCCCAAAGTGCTTGGATTACAGGCGTGAGCCACCGTGCCCGGCAGATGTGTGTAGGTTTCTTATGATAATGTGAGTGGATTTCAGATGTAATTGAAGTTTTTCTGTCCAGGCACAGTGGCTCATGCACAGCACTACAGCCTGGGCAACAAGAGCAAAACTCTGTCTGAAAAGTCAAATAAAATAAGAATAATCAAAGTTTTTGGTTTTTTTTTTTTTTTCTGTTTTTTGTTTGTTTTGTTTTGTTTGACACAGGTTTTCACCATGTTGGCCAGGCTGGTCTTGAACTCCTGACCTCAGGTGATCCGCCCACCTCGGCCTCCCAAAGTGCTGAGATGACAGCCGTGAGCCACCGTGCTCGGACTGTTTTTGTTTTTTGAGACATAGTTTCACTCTGTCATCCAGGCTGGAGTGCTGTGGGGAAGTCTCGACTTACCACAAGCTCCACCTCCCGAATTCAAGGAATTCTCCTGCCTCAGCCTCCCAAGGAGCTGGGATTACAGGTGCCTGCCACCAGCCCGGCTGATTTTTGTATTTTTAGTAGTGACGCCTTTCCCACTGTGGGAACCAACAGCTCCACCCCATGCCCCACCCTTGCCACTGGCTGCTCCTTGGACTGTGGCCATCTGCTCCAATACCTGAAACAGAGGGCAGAGGTTGCAGTGAGCTGAAACATCAACTCCTTCTTCTAGCACAAACGGGGTCCCTGTTCATGACCAAGCAGTGTGTCCTGCAGCTGCTGGCTGGTGAGAACCTGTCCAGCCTCACTTAGTATCTTGGGGTAGAGCAGAGCTGTCCCTTAGACCTGTGGGGACCACAGGGTGCATGATTCTGCTGTCCCCCAGCAGCCCTCTAAGACAGCCCAGGTGAGATTGCAAAGACACCAGGCCCTGGAGCCACAGGCCCACCTGCCTGCCTTAAGGAATAGAGATGAGTATCTATAATGCACTCATGGTACAGCAGTGGGAATGGCTATGTCCTCAGCTCTCAG